GATGTTTCTCAATTCTTATCTTAAGCAAACCAAAGAGTCTTCTCTTCTCCCTACAACACAATCATATACAAATCTCCTCTCTCCCAAGAACTGAATAGTGATAGCTCAGATTCTCGAAAACAGGAACAGAGATAGTTGAATCTTGGAAGATTGTGATGAATTATGTCCCTATTACTACTACTCTGATCCCGGCATTTGAACCATCATATGCGAAGAAGCCTACAGTCACAAACAAGATTTTAAATTATTATTCTGCAGATTCATGGATTACAAATACCATATATGCTTTACGATGCTCAATGCTGTTGTAGCCTCTCAGTATCAGGAAACATATGAGGGCCTAATCCAAGTCTATTATAGTCGTTATTCGTTAACTCCATTGATTGTTTTAAACACTCCTGTTTCTCCTCTATGTAGAGAATGTATACATATAACAAGTATTTAACCTTTTGTTTTAGCGAAAACACTTACTTGAGAGTTTCCATAAGGACCTTGCGAGAAAGAACCTTGGTGAGCAAGCTGCGGAAACTGTTTCAGAAGGTAAAGACGCGGAAATGTTAAACTAGTTCACACAAAACATAAGCGAAAAAATGATGATGACAAAAATGACAATGTCAGTAGGAAAAGATCGAGTTGTTACTTGAGCTGGTTGACCATCTTTCTTAGCACTCGATTCCCCGCCTTTTCCTGATCCCTTAGTGTCACCCTAGCAGGCAGACAGATAACAATGACAGAGGGTAGCAAACAATCCTAATTAGATACAAATCATACAACATATTCCCCAAAAATGGACAAAACCGGACTAACACAAGATTGTAATAAGCTTAAAAACAAAGAGGAGAGCCACTGACCTCCATCTGCAGAATCCCAATCCATATAGCATAGAAAGGAAAAGAGAAATAAAAACAGAGAGTCAGTGCATGAATTGCAGAAATTCTCTTGATGCAATAGATATATTACCACAATTCCACATAACTAGAAACATCAGAAATCCATTGTATCGTTTGTTTGTTCTGGAAAACACAATTACCACATTTGTTCTAATGGAAACATACCTCTCTATATCTCATCAGGTAAATCTTCAAAGGCTCAATGTACTCTTCAAATCCTAAAGTGGTCATTGCCCAAAGCAAATCATCTCCATTAATGGTCTTCCTTTTCTCTCTTTGGCACTTATCACTCGCTCTGCTTGTCACAAAACATCATCAAACCTCATTTTCATCATACAAACACAGAGCTAAACCAAATTCTATCCCAAATAGCCTAAAATTCCAGTTTACAAAACAAAAGCCTAAATTTTTAACAAAGTTGGGAAAAAAAAAACCCCATTACTCACTCGCTGGTGACGAAGCTGATGAATTCAGAGACGCATTCCTGCATTGTCTCTTTAGCATCTTTAGCAATTTTGCCATTAGCAGGTAAACCCCTCTTCATGATACGGCTTATGTTAGCAATCGGAAGAAACCTATCCTGCTCACGAACATTTAACGACCTAGGGCTTTGATCTCCGCCGCTTTCATGGCTTCCACCGCCACCTCCGGGACTCATCGCCGATGACTTAGCCTGAGAATCCGACATCTATGAAACGAAATACAAACAAAACGAAGATAAATCAGAGAGGTAACAACAACAACATACCGCGTGAAACTCGGAATCGGGAGAATCGAAGACCAACTCAGAAAGCGTGAAGAAGAGAGATGAGAGATGATTGATTTACCTGGAGAATTCGAAAA